TATATATATATATAATAATAATAATAAATATTTATTGATAAAAAAAATATATTTATTTATTTATTTTTATTTTAATAAATTAATCAAACAAACATAAAAGATATTCTAAACATTGACTTTATCTAAAATCATTAGGATTAGCCTAGTGATTAGATGGAGAGTGGTTAGAAACATGGGAACTTATCTTTTAAATCTTTACAAACAAAAATATTAACTTTATCTATTTTCTTTAACTTAAATATATATTTAATTTTTCTAAAATAAACAAATTTTGATTCTCATTTTTAGAAGAAAAAAATTGATTTTCATCTTTTCAAAATATGTAAACATTTTTTCCTTACCTTATAAAAATGAGTAAATTTTAGTTTTACTCTGTTGTAAAATATTTATTTTAAATTTTATTCCTTTGAAATATAACATCATTATTTTTTGTCTATAACAATCATATTAAATTATATAAGTAACATTAATTTTAAAGATATATTAAAAAATTAAAAAATGTCACTCATCAATGTTATTTTTGTAAAATTTTGATAATATGAAATGATGACTTAAATTTTTAAATTTTAAAAAGATGAAGAAATTAGTAGGCAGAAAAGAACATAAAATGAAATGAAAAAGGGTTAGCCGTATATGGCAGAGTATTGGGGGTACACCTGTCTGAGCACACTCACCAAAGGGTTAAGAATGAGGACACCTGTGACCCTCAAGACAGCCCTTAATTATAAGGGCAAGTTACCCTTCCTCTATTAATTCCCTGCATCCTATTCCTACCCTAACACCATGGCCTAACAAGTAACAAACAACACACCCCAAAGGCAAATTTCCCTCAAATATTTAGTCTTTTGTCTCTGATGGGAGATGGGTGCGTGGTAGAAGCCATGAACAATTCCAATAAGAAGAACGCCAAGAATAAGAAGAAGAAGAACAGGGGTGGCACCAAGAAGAAGATGACCCACGAGCAGCTTTTAGCCTTCAAGTTCGTCAGTGAGTGGGTTTTCTTGGATCGCCCTTCTCCCTCTTCTTCTGCTGTTGTCGATGATTTTGGGGTGCAGAAGCCTCTGGGGAGAGGAGGGGAAAAGCTCCTCTTTGAATTGCACTCACACTCCAAATCCAGTGATGGCTTCTTCTCCCCTTCCAAGGTTGTCGAGAAAGCTCACACCAACGGCGTAAGTTTCAAATTTCAATGCTCCTATCACTTTTCATTTGTCAGTGGATTCCTCAGATTGTTGGCCTTTTATTGTTCAGACAGAAAAAAAAAACTAAAAATATTAGAATGAACTCATACCTGAGTTTGTTCAATTTGTTGTTCATTTCCTGACATATGAGTATTAGATTGTGCCCTCTCTCGTTGCCTTTTGGGTTAGCTTTTCATTTTGGTAATATCGGCAAATCAAAGGATCAGTGACAGACCATGATCAATATTTATATATTATTCGAGATTTTCTAGAAATGTGTGCATTTTCAACTAAAGATTTTCTCTAATTTTCCTTTGAATATTTAATAAGGGTACTTGAGAAATGATAGGACTGATAGAAAGTCAACTGAAATTTAAGGTCAATTTCAATATGTTTAATTCAAACCTGCTGGTATCCGTGATAGTAAAAGAGGATTGCCTAGGGTATAAGCTGTGCTTAGGGTTTGCTTTTTTAGTGATAGGCTCCTTTTTGATTAATACTATTTGCTCATAACAGGTGAAAGTTCTTGCTCTGACAGATCATGACACTATGGCAGGCATTCCCGAAGCTGTAGAATCAGCTCGTAAATATGGCATCAAGATAATTCCAGGTGTTGAAATTAGTACCATGTTTTCTCCAAGGTAATTTTTAAACATTACATGCATTCCTGAAGCTGTAGAATCAGCTCGTAAATATGGCATCAAGATAATTCCAGGTGTTGAAATTAGTACCATGTTTTCTCCAAGGTAATTTTTAAACATTACATATTATTGATTATTGATTCTTGATGCTTGATAGTTGAATTGGCTTTAACATTCTTGTGTTGCTTCTCTCTAATGAGAGAGGGAAAGCTGTATATTCTGCAAACTATAATAGTCAAATTAGGGTTTGATATGATAAACTTCTCAAAAAGGAGAAAAAAAATTGAAATTAGTTTATCCATAAATAAAAACTAGTTTATGCATATCTTAAAATAAAATTTTGAAAAAATTAATAAGAGAGAACTTCCACACAAATTAATTTATACATAAAGCTAAAAGTGCTTATTTTTATTTTTTCTTTTCTTTTTTTTTTCTTAAAAGTGTTTCTGGTGAAGTTTTACTAAACAGACCCTTATTACTTAATAATATCCTTTTCATACATCTAATTATGCTAATCCACTGGCAGAGGAGACTCTGAAGTAGAGGAACCAGTTCATATTCTAGCATATTACAGCAGTATTGGACCAACGAGGTTTGAGGAGCTGGACAAATTTCTATCAAACATAAGAGATGGACGTTTTCTTCGTGCACAGAACATTGTCTTAAAACTGAACAAGCTCAAATTGCCTCTTAAATGGGAGCATGTTTGCAGGATTGCTGGCAAGGGGGTTGCCCCAGGGAGGCTTCATGTGGCCCGTGCCATGGTTGAGGCAGGTTACGTAGAAAATCTCAGACAGGCCTTTTCTCGGTATCTTTTCGACGGTGGACCGGCTTACTCCACGTAAAATTCCATTGCTTGCTCTTGTTGGATGTAATTATTTGTGTAGTTAGGGGAAACGGTTAAGGATGTGACAATTGTGTTTCAGGGGAAGTGAGCCTGCGGCAGAAGAAGCAATAAAAATGATTTGTCGTACTGGGGGTGTTGCTGTTCTGGCTCATCCATGGGCATTGAAAAATCCAGTTCCCATTGTCAGGAGGTTAAAAGAAGCTGGTCTTCATGGGATGGAGGTCTACAAAAGTGATGGAAGGCTCGCAGGTACATGCCTAATAGAAATTTTTTCTCATTTGTGTAATCATTAAAATGATGTTATTGTGTAGTTTAGGATTATCAGTCTCCTTGTAAAACCAAACCTAGTACCTTTGCCAAAAGTTGAATCATTATTTATTCCAAAACAGAAACCATAATTTGTTCTAATTGCCCTATTCAACTGCTTGATAATCTGAATTACCTGTGTTATAAAGTTGAGTCCACTATGGGAGAGAAAAAATCATCAGCACTGTCAACTTGGGTATCAACACATTAAATTGATAACATGAATAGACTAGCAGGTGAACTGAAGGTCGAAAACATTCCCTAATATAAATTTATTACAAAAAACTTAAAATCACGAGAGGGAGCTCATTAAATAAGGACTAGGGCCCATACAAATTTGTGATTTTATTAAATTTCAGTCAATAATAATGTTTCTTTAAAAGAGTATATTAGAGATTATGCCCTTAGTATTTCTCACTTAAAGGTATCCATGTTTAGTCATAAAATCAACAGTATGCATGCAGTCTCACCAAAGTCACAATTGTGTGATGGGAGATTATATCATTAAGTACAAATGGAAAGAAAATCCTATTAAATTTTTGCATGCTAATTTTAGCTTTTGGTGTGCAGCATATAGTGACTTGGCTGATGCTTATGAACTTTTAAAGATTGGAGGGTCAGACTATCATGGGAAAGGAGGGCAGAATGAATCTGAACTTGGAAGTGTGAACCTTCCAGTAGTAGTGTTACATGACTTCCTTAAGGTAGCTCGGCCTATCTGGTGCAACGCCATAAGGGAGATATTAGGGTGTTATGCCGAGGAGCCTTCTGATTCTAACCTAGCAACAATTACAAGGTTTGGGAGAACCCGGGTTTTTAAGGGTGGTTCACCCTTGAGTTGTGGACAGGACTTGATTGATCATTGTTTACCTCTCTGGTTGACTAGCCAAGAGATGGAAAATGCAGAGTTTGAAGCTATCAAGTTGAAGTTGTCCAATGTTTCGGCTAGCCAGGCAGGAATTCAGGTTCTCGTAGAGACTAAATAAAAATTGTGTAACTTGTCTATGCCACCAATTTAATCATTACCAGTAATGCTGTCCCTCAATCTTAATATTAAATTCCTTAGTCAATTTCAATTGTCTATTGATTCTTTTGAAAATTTTCTATGATCATTGAGCAAACATTTCTCACATTATTGTTTTATCTTCTGTCCCTGATGTATTTTTCTTAATGCAAATTTGTCAGAAAAGATTGTATTTACAAAAGTTGAAACAGAAGGGATTCCTTCTTGTTTCGAAATTTGGATTCCCTGCTTAATCTGAGTAGTTTGTTTAATCTTCTAAAAAAATCCGAGGGCCACAAGAGAACTTTACTTTGAAGAATTTTTACGTTCGAATTGCTTTAAAATTTTACGGATAGATTGTGTAATCTTTTCAAGAATCCGAGCGACAAAGGAATCAATACTAGAGAAAAACTGAACGAAATTTAAAATTCAAATTACTTTAAAATTTAACCTAGTTCTATCTTGAATTTTGTGCGAGTATTTTTTTGGAAGGTAACATTTATATGGTTCCATTTGGTAGTGATAGAGATTAGAGAGTCTAGTTTGAGCTAGCTACAAGATTGGACCGATTGCGGTGAATGAATTCTTAGTTTTTGACCGGAAAAGACAGTTTCTTATTTTCTTATTTCTTAGTGTGTTTGTATAATTGTTGAACTCAATGTAACGGGAATTTATCAATACATTTGTTTTTACATTTATCCATGGAAATATGTGAAATTTCCTGAAGGATTTTAAAGAGTTACCTAAGCACACAGTTAGTTTAGTTCATTAGAATGTGTAAATTAATGTAAACAGGCTCCCAAATACACCTGAATCTCCTATCAATTATTCAAAGGCTACGACAGCTCTGATCAGTTCATCTTTTTTGTGAGTTATCAAGAAAAGCAGTTCCATCGAATTTGGCACTGGAGGAATCAGACTGTATTTGAATCTGCCCCCATATACCATTAAGCTAAGCATTAGAATAAAGAAGCTGAAAAAACGAAGTCTATAACGAATGGTTGGATCGAATCACACACAACTAGCTATAACGAATGTTGTTATAAGCACTTAGTTGCAAATGTTGAAGAATAATAGCTTTCTAGTCCCACATCGTTTCTAAGTGGGTTGCAATGCTGAGTTACTTGTAAATGAAGAATAAAAAAAATATTCTCTTTAGTCCCACATCGAAGCTGAGTGGTTTGGAATCTTGAGTTTGTTGAAAACGAATAAAAATGGAAAAGTCTCGAGTCCCACATCGAAGATAAAGCACATTATTAGATATGAAGTTTTCGAATATAATTGCAACCTGTAACCCCTGTTTCTTCATCTTTGCGCTTGGGGCAATGACGCAGCTAGTGAGGTTCTAACCGAGGCGCGTCTATTGCTGGTTGAAAACTATTTCCAAACCCCCTCTTGGGCCTGAGTACAGCTCAGGCCTTTGAGAATTTCTGGAAGGGCTCCCTAAGGGGTAAAGCCCTGCAGTTTTAGTTCAAAATTTAAATTATACTCGAATATAAAGAAAAAGCAGTTGGTAACTTGTATTAGACCCGAAAACTATTGAGAATCAGTTAAAACTTTAATTATGTTGTGTGGCATGTGCTCTCCCTAGTCTTTATGCCTCTGCAGGATAGTGGAGGATTAATTTAAATGTAATTTATCCCCTTCCACCGAATTACAAATATATTGATGAAACCATATTATCTATCATCCAACTATCTGGGAAATGTAAACCTATGTCTAATTTATAGAATGGATTACAAGTTACAACATTTAGTAAACGGTTATGTTAACTGCTTAGTAAATAGAAATGTAAATTTCTAAACAGTTTTTCAAAAAAAATATCTCTTAAAAGAATGAGTTTGATTTTAATTTGAACAAAAAATCAAAGAATGAGTTAGTTTGATTTTAATTTAAATAATAATAAAAATGACTGATGGTCTACTTTGATAGGTTCAAATTTACTTCTCCACCAAAATATTAATAAAATAGTTTGTAGCGTGATAGAAACTTCAATTATTTACATTAAAAACTTACAATTAAAATTGGCATTTAGCTATATTTTTGTGTAGTTAAATTTTTTTAACTGTTGTATAATTAATGATCTATTTAAAAATATTGTTACTTAATGAAAAAAACTTGTACGAATCTGCTAAGAATTAATAGTGGTGGTTTATTGGATAATAGTAAATTTAAAAGAATAAAAAATGATAGTTAACACTTTATTGGATAATTCTCCAGTTAAAAGAATAAAAAATTCAAAATTTAACATGATTCCAAATCTTTTTGTAGAATGTTCCTATGAGTTTTTGCCTTTTTTCACCAATCAATAAACTTAAATACTTTTAATCACTTTAATCTGACTAATCTGTAATTTTGATCTTGAACTAGTTAAATTCTACTTTTGAAATTCAACAAATTAGGCCCCTACCATATATTTCTAACATCACGTCTTTTATTCTACTGAATGTTTAGGAATTTAAGATGAATTTAAAATATTAAAAAATTACAAGTGTCTGGAAGTAAAAATAATAATGGATAAAATCATAGAAAACTATAGTACATAAAATTAAGATTTAAAGAAGGGAAACTGAGTGTTTGCTTTCTATTCCAAATAAAATTTGATGTTTTAATTGGTGAAATTATGACAAGATTTAAAATAATTTATTCAATTTGATTTGTAAAGACTTAAAAAAATGAGGGCTTTAAATTAAAAAAAAATAGATAAATGAAATGTATGATTTTAGAAAACAGAAACTTAAATTAGCTAAACAAATTTGGGGGGGGGAAAATCCATATCAATGAAATACAAGTACAATTAAATCAACTTTATATAAGATAATTATTGGGTTAAACAAAACTTTTGAAACATTTCTCATTCATATCAAATAACATTGCTGCCCTTGAATTGTAATCATTAACTAAGTAGATAGTAAACGCGACAAAACATTTAAATCCCAACTTAAACAGCTTCAGATTCTTAGCCAGATTACAGCATAGGGGACAGAAATACAAGAACATTATGTTATGCATAATCAATCATGTGATGCCATGTATTATGCAGCAAAAAATATCCATTTTCCCAACTCTTTGCATTCCTCATCTTCATCCGTACATTAAAAGCCCCTAAAGTAGGAACTAAATTGGAATTGCTACACATGAAAGGAAAAATCATGTTCAAAAAATACACTCCATGCATCAACTGAATCTACGACGCTGTTTACCCTTGGCATCATGTGCATATGCGGTCACATTATAAATGATACTCAAGTTAATCATGTACGTCAAAAGCAGAGACTAGATTAGGATACTAGCCCACGTGTGTAGGATGTGACCACATCATCTATATTTGCCAAGCTCCATCTTCTTCTTGATTGTTCTCTGACCATAATATATAGATGAATCTATAATTCCAGCAACGGTAAATACACCTAAGCAGAATGGTTGAAATCCAAATTAAATTAGTGAGACAAAAATGTATAGATTTGCAATACAGCTTCATGTAATTGTTTGATTAATCAATTTATCACCCTTATCTTTTCCAGGCTGGAGTGGATAGAAAGAACAAGGAATTACCTCCAATAATTGCACAAATATTGGTCAGAAAATGTAAAAATGGAATATGTTCCTCTTTGAAGTTAACCTGCAACATAAAACATCAATTTACTTGAGAGATCCAGTAATAAAATGTACTTTTTCTACAACTTGCACAACAATATGAATCATTAAAACTATGATGTTAGTTTCTTACATATACTCCACATAATAGAAAGATAATAGACATATATCGCTATTGAATCATCAAGATGTATTATATTTTGGGACAATTTTAAATTGAAGATAGGGGTGCCAGCTGTAACATACAGAAGTATTATATCAACTATATCTATTTTGCGATGATTGAGATCATTATCATAAGATGTTGCAGTTAATGGTGCCATATGGCTACCAAAAAAGCAGCCTCCATAGGGTTAGAAACCCATTTGAATATCTCCGCATAGCACGTTTGAGTCAATAACTTGACCTTATCTAGATGTTTTAGGATTAGTCATGCCCTGCACTATGGTTAAACTAGTATCCTTGTTTCCAACCAACTCACATTTCTTATGTGTTCTAAGGTAGAGGGAACCTGACTATACTTTCAATAGTCGTCAAAAAAAGCTCAAGATTAGTGCTAGAATATTAGGCTTATTATTCATATGGTTAGCTGATAGTATCATAAAATGACCTAATTATCTGTATTTATAGGAGTATTAGGTAGTGGCACATGACAACAATATCAAACCCAAATCATACTATTCACTGTCTTTATCATTTTTAATCCCACCATTTCACACTAAACCCTAAATTTTCAACAATTATATACAAAAATGCAGACAGTGAATAAAATATCCTCTATCATGGGTTTAGACGTAATTATAAAAGGGGAACTCATGTAGAAAAACACAAACTTCAAGTGCATTCAAGGGAAAAAAAATTAACATTTTATGCAATTTGCTTGTAAAATTAGACAATTTTACCTTGATTGGAGAGATGTCATAAAAGAAGAAAACTCCAGGAACTGCAGCACCCAGCTCTGAACTCTTGAAATGCTCAGTCACAGAATACTGTGCAATAACATTTATTAAGCTATGTTGGTATTATCCATCGAAACATGTAATGACAGTATGTTCATAATATTAAAATTACCTGATTTGAATGGATAACACGACCTCTAATGTCTGTGTATATTGTAGGGACCACCTGCATTGCATACACAGATGCCCAAACAAGTGTCATCCCAGTGAACAATTGCATGCATGATATTTAAAAAATTAGAAAAAAGCAAAAATAAATAAATAAATAACATCAGATGCTATATTTTGAAGCTAATATCCAAGATGCTTTTGCTGGTTCTCCTGTATCATGAATACAAGAAAAATACAAGTTTGTAGAAATGAATGCTGTATATCGAGCAATTAGTTAATAAACTTAACATGCAAACAAAATCTTTAGTTAGGAATATATCCCATGTTAGTACCAACCTTTATGAAATACTGGTACATGCCATGAGTTGGTCCTTGCACCCACTTTACCCTGCACAGATTTTAAATAAATAGATTTTAAATGGTTGAGGTTGGAAAATTTTTGTCACAACATTTTAATACATGACAAAATAACTTTGCACCCATTGTCAAATTACATGCACACAGTAAAGAAAAAGTGGAAAAAAAAACTAACAATTTGGTGCTTCTGCAAAATTTGATTGCAAGACTTCATTGCAGCAATAAAACGAAAATTGAAAGTATATCTGTATGTGTACTGTAAGAGATATAAAACCAATCGTATACCTTTCCTAACAACTTAAATTTTACGTGGAGTTGGTCCTTGAAATGTAGAAACGTGTGGGTATTAGTTACTTCACATTTTAGGTACATTATAAATACAAGTTACTCTCCCCTTCCACTATATTTTGCATTTACTATACAAACCTGCTCTATTGAAAACCAATACAAAACTCAGAGGTTAGTTACAAATTCAAAATGCTGCTAAGCATAATAGATTTGTAAGGGAAGAACACATTCATTTGCAGTAGCTGAGTCAAAGGTTCATCTCCAAAAATTTGCATGCTTCCTTGTTCTCAACAAATAGGGCTGAACAAGGGTAACAAGTGGCATTTAACCATACTTTATCCTTGAAGTTATGGCTTAGTCATCATATCTATTACTCTCTTTTATGTTTATGATTTTTAAAGCTATCAAATGGCCATTAGGGAGAATCAGAAAATATTTGCTTCTCATTTTAATGCCTTGTAATTCAAGGAAACATGCTTTTAGTGAAAAACAATTTAAACCTTACGAGATATAGTGCTTTTACTCATAATGGAAATTTGATTCATTTTTAATGATAGAAGAGAAAGTAATTTACTTTAGAATTTCTTTCTATGGCATTAGATTCAATTTTAAATATCTCAATATGTCAAAACACCTACGCCACATGCCATAATTGTCACCAGAAAATAAGGTGTCAGCTGGAGAAGAAAATTACCCATCAAGAGGATTAACCAATCCAGGGAAATCATGACCGAAACTTAATTTGTTGATCCGATGGCTTATCTGCATCATACACCGTATTTTGAAAATCAATCATGTGATTTCAAGCAAAGGGGAAGCATCAGAATTTTATCAAAGTTTTCAGAATATGATACATAATTCAGGCAATGGATAATAAAAAAGGAGTTCAGTGTTACATTATAATGATTATCCTGTAAAGCAAGCAGGTCAGCAAGAAATATAGCAGACTGAAGAAAGCTTTTCCCAGTTGCAAAATGAAAATTTCCTGCTACTTTGTTAACTTCAAGAGATCCTTGAATATTGCATCCTTCACCTTCTTCATCCTTTACCCTTTGCACATAACCCTCTCTTTGACACTAAAAAAAAAAGAGAAAAGCATCAGAAAGCAATATACCTCCAACAAATTGCCACTACAAATTCAAACACCAGGGCAAAGTACACAAGTCCAATATAATTAACACAAGTGTCACATTTCATTAAGGGACACTTTTCATTGCTGTTGTTAGACTCCTTGTTGCATTCTTAAGCTTTTATAAATTATAATAAATATGCTTCAGCAATAACATAAAATATTTACAGCCTCATAAGTGTGGCATTTGAATCCACAGAAAATTCAAGTGTTTATGTGTAATAAAAAGAGAGTATCAAACCAACCTGATCGATCAAATCCATATTTGTCAGTGCCCAGCCCTTTTTCCTATATGCTTCACGCACTTCTTCACAAGAATTACAACAGTGTTCATCTGACTGCATGAGTACGAGCAAGAAAGAGATGGCATAGACTTATAAGAAATTAAGAAACATTCAGAGAGTATGAGTTTCACTGACATGAAAATATACAAATTCACAGTAAGATACACAATTTAGCCAGCACATTGGACTGCTCAAATGAAAGCAACAATGATAATCATCTAATTTAACTTGAGCATAACAATAGATTCCGGGGTCATTCCAGAACAAATGCTACTGTATTAGTCAAGCCAAAAAAAATTAGCCAGCATCCCAACCATGCAACTCCATGAACATTTTAACCAGCCTAACTTTGTCTACAATATAAATACATTTAACAAAAAAAAGTTATTAGGATTTATCATTGTTATTAACATTGCTGCAGAAAAATAACAGTGAAGATAATTTTGGTGTTTAAGAATAAGCAGAAAGAAATAGTAAATCTTTCTATTTTTTCAGCTTAACAATCATGAGAACATTGATGTGATTAGACATACAAAGCATAGAACAGAAATTGAATACACCAAAGGCTACAGTCACTGATGGGAAAACTACAGGGAAAAAAACAGTTAATATATAAAATAATTATCTAATCAAATACAACATCCAAGCTGTTTCCTGGTATATTATCTAATCTTGTAAAGTAATAAACTGTATTTCCATTGATATATTAGACCAGGGCTTCAAAAATGTCAACAGTAGTATACAATTACAAAGAAATTAGGCAGGGCAAAAAAAATGTCACACATAAGGAATGAAATAATTAGAAATTTTACTATATATCAAAATAAGTTGGAACTGCCATACAAACAGCCAACTGAAAGTTGTATTACTGGAGAATGGTGATAATGGTGCTCGTGGTTCACAATTATACTTATTTCTCGTTAATAAAGCCAGCAAAACATTTTATAAAGATGAAGATCCCAAAACATGTTTTCAAAGCAATTTTCACTAGAACAGACAGACAGTGTTTCAATAAGAATTTTCTTTCACCAAGCCTCCAGTATTCATTCTGTCTTTGATTCATAATTAACCTTCACTAATGTCTAGTTGTTTCAGATCCACTGTAGTTAAAGTTCGCAAAAAGTGTGCCTTAATGGCACATTTACATCAGAGCAAAGGCAATCCATGAGAATCCTTAGGTTTTCATATAAAGAACAGTGGCATTCCAGTCAATCACCACTTGAAATGAATTGAGTTGCATAAAACAAGGGATGAAAGGAAGCAAACACCACTTGCCTCCATATCATACCTTTTATTTGATTATATTGACCCAGTGACAATATATTATGAATGAAAATATTTAACTCTTCTCATTGAATACTATTCTCTTCACCTCTTCTATAGGCAATTCCATGTCTTGTATCAGTTTTATTCTGCTTTTGATTCTCTGTTTTTCCAACGTTTACAGAGTGCAATGACAAGCAATCTGTTTTCTTTTCAAGTAAAAAGCGCACACACTCTGATTTCTATTTCATGTCCATGATAGAGTAAAAACACTATTTTTTAAGCATGACAATTAAATACTTATTCTTTTTATCTTCTTCCTTTAATGAGGCTTGAACCTTTTGGAGCCTCTGGTCACAAGGCATTAAAAACTCACTAGAGCCTTAAGGGCACTCTTCACCTTTGATTACCCTGTTTAAATTCTGAAACTTCTCAGTTAAATCTCACCAAATTCTGTCACCACAACCCTTGTTACCTAATTTCTCCTTTCCTTTTATATGAAAGCCTTCTGACCATTTTTTTTTAATAAAAACATCTATAAAACATTCAAGACTTATTGACAGTCCACATGGACACACAACACATGTTACGGTAATTACAAAGTTATAAAAAACCTTGAGCAAATTTAAGTGTGGTAAATGGTCAAAGGTACCTCTTCTGCACCAAAACATGAACCACAATACTTTTCATCGTGTCCAAGTCTGCCACCATGTTTCTGCAAGGGTCTCTCAATCTGCAGTAGTAAAGATATATAGGAAATGAAACGGTAAATTCATTATACACAAATATTAACCTTTGTCTTCCAAATAACATACATAAAAAATTAGTAGAAATGTGATGAAGAATAGAAAAATGGATTTCAACTCCTCTAAACAAGAGGTCTGAGACAACTAGCCTCATTATAACCAAAGTTTGGCCATCAGATTCATAGATATCGGCAACAGTCACCTTTAATTTATGCCAATCATTATTGTGGTCAAATGCCTTATGCAGTCTTTGCAAATTTAGACAACTCAGTACTGTGTATAACTTTTAAGTACCACAGATCAAATAAAAGAATTCAAACAAGAGAACCTTCTATTTCCTATAACCATTGAAAAGAAAGAGTGACATTACTGACTTAGGAGGACAAATGTGATGCTGGAAAAAGAATCTAGAAGAAAAATGATCATAGAATTTCAGCAATACAATTCCAAACCCAATCCAACACGAGCAATAAGAGTCTTTTTTCAAACTTTTGAGCAATGAATTACCAGTTACAACCATCCAGTTTACAGGTTCTTTTTGCCAGCAGAAGCCCAAGATCCCCACAGAAAAGTCTGTAAGAACTTCATTGATATGTAAAGATCATGCTATCATCCATATTTTCATCCATGTCTTAATTAAGAAAGCTAATAGTTGTTAAAATTCTTTAACATTAAATATTTGAACACTACAAAGCTGATATAGCTAACATGAAGAATCTAATTGGACAAAACTTATATTCTAATACCTTCCATTTCATGTTGCACCAACCTAGCAGTCATCCCTCTATAGATATAAGAAACATGGGCCCAAGGCCTTTCATTTCCAAGCAGCTCAGTGTAATATTAACTCATAGCTAACATGGTTCTCTATTACTACAAAAGTATGAATGTGTTTCAGGGTAGCATTTCTATTAGCACTAGTTCCAGTATATTTGTATTAAATTACAGAAGAATAAAAAAGTTCCCAAGTACAGAATTGTACTCTTAAATTAAGTGCTGAAGAAAAGTCCTGAGTACAGAAAAAAGCATACTTCTGCCTTAAGTAAATCATAAATATTGTAAAGGAAATTTAACAACAAAATAGATAAAATTATATAGTAAACATGAAGCAAGCAAACGTTATGCAATAAAAAAGTGCCTGAGTATTTAAGCTAACCTTTGGCGCACCAATTCCATCCTTCCTTTCCTCTACAACATTACCATTAGCATCAATTCGTTTCTTCACTATATTATGTCGCTGCAAATAGAAACAGTATAGTGTAAATGATAATTAATAATTAACAAGAATAATAAGAACATGAGACTTGGGGAATGATAGAAATTAAGAAAGAATGCAATGAATAAAGTATAAATATGCAGTTAGAATTACAGGAACTGAAAAATATTTGATAAAAAGCTAATTTAAGCAGAACATACTATGTCAAGATGTTGCTCGCCACTAATATCCATTGCATCTAAGCTGAGTATTGAACATCGAACAGAAGGAAAAGTGACATCAAACTGCAATTCCAAGGGGAAAAAAGAATCAAATTTTTACTCTGAAAAGGTTGATCAGTATTAAGACTAATGCTGCCAAACTTACAGGATGTATGATTAAAACTATAAAAGTTACACTACAAATATAACAACAATAATTACATTGATATGCAAGGTATCTCCTCTTGAAGTATCCACCAAAAGCTTACTCTCCGTAACTGTGTAGAGGTATAAACCTGAAATCAAAGGTAACAGATAATATTCTTAAAGTTTAACGGGAAAGGCAGTAGTCACATATGTATGCAGTAAGGTAATGGTTCAGACAAAAAAAAAAGCCCCAGCTAAATATGTTTCATTTAAAATCACTCTCATTTTAAAGATGGGGTATTAACCTTTTATCCCTAAAACTAGCAGCAATTAAATCTCCACAGCCGGACCACAACATGCGATAATTGCATAAAAATCACTTAGGAGGATAAAAGTGTAGTAGCCCTCGAATTAAAGCTTCATTAATTGAGTTTGACACAACCCTTGTGCCAATAGTTGATAACATTACTCAGGTCATATATCGCGGTTATATTATCACAGAATTTTATCTGTGAGATGAACCAATGCACCCAAATGAAACCACAAATAAACCCATCTTAATGAAAATCCCTAACAAGCCATTAATTACATGATTGAAACAATGGATCTAAGTCCTTATTGCCTTGGAACTCTGAAGTCTCAACTCTCAACCATCGATTTACTAAAAAACATGGTAATGCCTGGAAGAGAAAGAGAGTGAAAAAAAAAAAAAAAAAGCTCGCATTCCATCCAAAAAGAAATCTTCCCTTTCCAAAGTTCCCTTACCACCGAATATAAACATATTTCAAATTCAGCTCAGTGCAACAAAATTGCCAAGCAGGACACATAAATTGACACACGATTTTCTCAACATCCCCAAAAATAAAAATCCACAGAAATCATATCCCCCTTTTAAATTTCCCACCTTTCCCAACCAGGCAAGAAAAACACAAATCAAAGTTCCAACATTTATCAAAAGTTTAAATAAATAAGTAAAAGCAGGAGATGGGGTCGTACTTAGCTCGGAAAAGAAAAGGAAGAGCATGACGGCGGCGGAAACGACGGTGATGAGGCCGCCGGCGAGCGTGCGGTTGTAAAAATCTTCATTGACTTTTGGGTAAGCGTCCAAATTGCGGAGCTTGTTGAAGACTTTATCCATGGATGGCAGCCAAAATCTGAGAAGAAGCACCCACCTTTCGGAGAATATTGAGCGATGAACGGCGCTCCGTCGTGGACGGTGGCCGGTGAATGGCGCGTGCGGAAAGAAGGGGTTGGTTGAAGAATGAAGAAAGACCTTAACACGGGATCATATGACCCCTTATTCAAGGTCAATTCAGTCCAACTTGCCGTCTAATACCTTTTTATTTTTTCTTTTTTTCTTTTCCTCCTTTTTCTCAATAGTATTTTTAACCATTTTAATTTTGGAAATCAATTTTCGATATTTAATTCAACGGATTACGCCTATCTCACACTTTTCCATTCATAACCATAATTAGCATATTAACTAAAAACATTTCTTTTCTTAAAATATATCTTTGCTTCATTGGTCAAAAACGAATCTTCAGAGATCGGTTTAAATCCAATACTAAATTATAGGATCAGATTTTTGGTTTAAACCGCCGCATGTTTTGGTTTTTTATTAATTATCATCAATTATAGAAGAAAATGTGATTTTGTTTCAACATTTTATGTTTAGTTGTTTTTTACGCCTTTTCTCATGTAGTTTATTAAATATTTAGGTTTAATTGCGTTTTGAGAATTTTGTTCATTAAAATTCTAATCAAGTAATTTTAGTTTAGTTATTGTAACTATATGATTTTTATCTCCTAAATTTTAATTAAGTAATTTTAATTTTTCAGATATCACACTTATACAATTTTAATATTTCAAGTATAATAATTATACAAATTATTTATTTAAGTTGCATATATTAGTAATTTTAGTAATATAAATACATATCATTTAATACTTTAATAGGTAACTTAAATAGGTAAAAAATTATATAATTATAATACGTTATAAACAAAAATTACACAATTATGATATTTTATAGATAAAAATTGTATAATTAAAAATTATAAAATCTAAATTACAAAATTATGATACTTAAAAAAAATTAAAATTTAAAAAATTAAAATTATACAACTGTTATACTTCATGGACAAAAACTCATTTAAGCTAATTAGTTATTAACATTTTTATTTTCCATAGTCAAATATTTTCTTTAAGTATTGGCATGGCATCCACAACACTTGTCATATCATTAATTAGTCTAACATGATAGTCACATGTAATTTTAATTTAAAAATTATATTTTTAGTCATTTATTTTTTCACAACACTCACTTTTAGTCTCTTATTTTTTTTTATCAATCTTGGTAATCATCTTCTCATGAAATTTAATTTTGATCCTCAATAATATTAATATTATTGGTTTTAGTCCCTCAACTATTATTCATCATTATGACAGTTATTTGAATTATTAGTTGACTGCAAAATCTTCGAATAAAATGTAGTTAATTCAATACATTTTTTGGTTGTTAAGGTGCTACAAATTTATTGACAATATAAAATTGTCGACTATAAATTTGAAATTTTAAGGAAAAAATGAAAAAGAGATGCAGCAAGTTAAATAAATAATTTGTAATACACAAATTAACAACTCACATGAAAATTCTCTCAATATTGAAATATGTTGTTGTCTATCATTAGGATTAACCTAATGTTGAGGGTCGGGATAATATGTATAAAGTATTAAGTTTGAATTCTAGTGTTGTTTTCGTAATTTCAATAAATAAATAAAAGGTTGTCTCGTGTTCTTACTACTATCATCACTTCTTATCTATCCTTTGTGCACATTACTTTTTGCGGAGCAAAATGATTTGATAGAAAAAATTAAGATAGAATTTAGTATTATTTTTTTTAGAAGGTTGGAGATTGTTGTAAGCAAAGATTCAAAGATTGAAGTTCTTTAGTTTTAGTGCTTGAAGTTTCGATTATGGTTTCTAAGATTGTGATTTTCATCATCCTTGTTGATTTTGATTACTATAAATTATTGATTTTGAGTCTTGGATTATGGTTAAGTAGGTCGTTAAATTTGCTTACCTTTAATTCTCTTTTTATTTTCGTTCAAAATTTTAATTTATTTTCTAATTGTAGTTACCACATCATTGTTCAATAATAATACTTAATAGAATGAGTTAAAACAATAACAAACAATAATTAAGAGACTAAGACCCATAAAAAAGATAATTGAAAGACTAAAGCTAAGTTTGTTATGAAAGATGAGGAATTAAAAATAGTCAAACAAAATTATTAAGGGGTTAAAAGTAAATTTTGTAAAAAGATGGAAGGCTAAAAACATAATTTACAAGAAAAGGATTACATGTGACTATTACATTAGATTACTAATAATGTGACAAGTAATTTGATTACCGCATCATTACTTAATGAAGATACTTGAGGTGGTGGAATTTTAGTAGAGGAGAGAGAAGAGAAGGGGAAGGAATGAAAGATTATGCATTAAAAGTTTTGTTTGATGGAAAGAAATGGAGAGATGGAGCTTAGGAGGGGAAGGATTTTAAAACCAAAATAATTTTGTATATTATAATTTTAAATTTAATAATATAAATAAAGATATTTTGAATATTATATTAAAAATATTTTAAAATTCTTTCCTTGGAAGTCTCTCTAATATTAAAAGAGAGTTAAAATTGGGTTAGGAGAAATTTTACACTCCTTTCCTTCCCTCTTAAAAATTGAACCAAATAATTTTTTTAAAAAATATCTCTCCTCGCCTCCTATCTTATCTCATTCATTTCCCTCTAATCAAATTCTGTTAGACACTAAAAAGTGAAATCAATTCTTATATATTAAATATAATTTGTTATTTTGTATGAAAATATTTTTAGAAATTTTTCTTCAACAAGAAGATTTGTAATTATTATTTTAATTTCTTATCTAATCTAGTTTTTATTTATCATAATTATTTATTAATTAAATATCAATATTTAAAATAAAATTATCAATAAATAAAAAATCATTATAATATAAGTTATTTATTAAAATATAATTTATATATTCAAACATAATATTTATTTATATTAATTTATTGTAAATTTTAATTATATATAATAAATATATCTATGTCTTGTACAAACTAAAATACTAGTGTATTTAATCTTTATTGAAAGAGAAAGGAAGAGGTGAAAAAAAATTCTTGGAAATTCTTAAACTGAATAAGGATAATTCAATCTAATTACAAAGTTAAAAATAATTGAATCTCACGTGTGTAAACAAAATTCTTCTCCCCTAGCTTCATAAATTTTTGGGGAAACTAAAATTGAATATGGATTTAATCTTCCTTCCTAATTTACTCAATTTTGGATGAAACTAAAATTGGGTGAGGAATATTTTTTAAAATAAAATATTATTTGTATCCTCTCCCTTATTTTGCCCATCTCTTTTAAAAGTTTTGAAACAAGCAAAAAATAAATAATTTTTTTTATTCTTTTTTCTCTAACTAATTAATATTTTAACTTATATATTTCACAGGTTAAATATTTGTTATATAATTAAGATTTTTAATAAATTATATATAAAGAATAGTATATTAAATATATAAGTTATATTTAAAATGAGTCAGGATCTATTGACACCAGATATAATTCTAAAAACTTATACCAAATCTTATGTCTTTAATAACTTTTTTTATAATGAAAATTTAACTGATCCAACTATTGAATTATATGATATTATAGTCAAGATCGCATATTCAAATTTCATATGGTTCCAAATTATTTAATAATTTATCACATTGTTTTTATTCTAATGTATAATATGATATTTAAAATATATATAAATATCTATTTTGGATAACATATCTATAAGAGTTTAAATCATGTGAAATTTGATATACATGATTTTGATTATAATATCACATGATTCAACAGTTGAATTCGTTAATTTTATTTTGAAAAAAAGTTACTAAAGGTATAAGACTTGATGTACGTTTTTTTTTTGTCTATGGATATGATTCATGTAGTGTTTCAAAATTGACAACTAATGACTAATCTGATCTCACGGGACATAGCTTTTGCTCACTGAATATTATTTTAACATAAATAAAAATCAAACATGAGACTACTAGATTAACTCTTGTGTCCTAGGGTGAACTTGATGTAAGTGTTTAGACTTATACCCGATGTTAACAATCTGACTCATTTAAAATTAACATAAATAGATATTTTAAATATATAAATTATATTTTAGATTTAGAATAAATAAATACATATTTTAATTATTGATAAAACTCCTATATATTAAACGCGAAAAATTTTTTATGAGCTATTCTTCGATAAGAGTATTTTTATATCTCACGATATTAAATAAATTATTAATAATTAAAATAACCTGGTGAAACAATATAAATTAGTTATCTCAAACATAAAATATATTTTATATATTTATAAATATTTATTTATATAAGTTTTAAATATTATTTATATATCCAAATATAACATGTATTTGTATATATATTTTTTAGTTAAATATGTTTTTAGTCTCTCAAATTTAAGGTAAATTTGTTTTTAATCCCTCAAACTTAAAATTAATCTTTTTAGTCTTTATAATTTCTATAAAAAAATATAGTTTTAATTATTATACTCAAATTTTGTTTAAAAGTTTATCAAATATTGTCACATAAAATCTATCAATTAGTATCATTGTTAGTAAAAATATCATATTAAACCACGTTGATGCTGTATAATTGTCTCGATTTGTTATTTTTATTTATGTTATTAGTAACCTAATAGACTAAAATAGTGTTTTTAAAAATTACAAAGATTAAAAAATAATTTTAAATTTGAGGGATAAAAAATAAATTTATCTTAAATTTGAGGAATTAAAAATATATTTAAGTCTATAATTTATTATAGATTTTAGTAATGTATAATGAACATTTAGTTTATGTAGTGCACATGTTAAATTACAAGTTTAATTTAAAATATCAAAATTCTCTTTATAAATAAATATCATAAATAATATATATATATATATATATATATATATATATATATATAAAAAAAAATAAAATATCTCTT